CCCCCCCCCCCCCCCCCCCCCCTCCGCTCTTGTGTCTCTCTTTGTAGATCTTGACCCAGTACGCCGACATCACGACGGTCGACTTCCCGCCGGCGTTCACTAAGCTCTTGGGTTTCATGGACGTCCTCAACCTGGACATGGGCTGGGTGCTGTCCGCCTCGTGCATATTCTCGCCAAACTTTTACGGGCGCCTGGTGCTCACCACCCTGGTACCTATCGCCCTCGGGCTAGCCCTCTGCTGCACCTTCATGTACGCCAAGTGAGTCCTGTATGCACATCATCATATCATACAACACGTGTACCAGTATTTTTCCACGAGAACCGAACATTTTTTTTTTTGTTCATCGTGGTCCCAGCCTGTTTTTCTTTTTTTTGGGGTCGAGAATCGAACATGTTTTTCTTTATTTTGGTCTAGAAACGAACTTGTTTCTTATTGTGTTTCATCATAATCCCAGCCTGTTTTTTTTTTTTTTCTGGTGTGGTTCTAAAAACGGCACGTCAGCGGTCATGCTTGTCTCGTCCAAAAATTACAGGCAATCCGGGGTCACACGGATTGCTTTTTTTCGTCGTACATGTAGTAGTTGACTGGTTGTTTTGACAAGAGTAATGATGAGGGTGAGGGGAAACCGCTGCGTTGACGTAAGAAGCTGACAGGCAATTATCAGACTACGGAGATTTTGGGAACGTCGTGACCTGTTGCTACTCGGGTGACAGAAACGAGGAGCTAGCTGCTATATTTCACCGGTGCAAGGAGGCGCTTTCGCACGTACGTGCATTAAGATTCAACCGAGGAGATGTAGTGCCAATGATTGTATACAGTAGCCTTGGCGAGTTTTTATTAATCAAACTTGTTGGATGGAGCATGGAACCGGTGGAATTTTGGGTTAGGGTCTATGTAATTCCTTCCGCTCTATTTCACAGATAAACTTGGACTCTTTGGGTAGGCGGTTCCAAGATTGAGCTACATTATTATGTATCCACGTCGTGCCCACGCCCGTCTCGGGTACCGTCTCGGGTAACGTGTTACTCATGGGATTTCTGTTGCGTGCAATTGTGATGGTTTTGTGCGTGTGCGTGCTTCACGTCGTACGTGCGTGATCGATCTATCCTGTCGCACGTATTCATGCCACGTGTGTGGCCTATCCTGCCGCACTTGTGCACGCGTGCTTGATTGGATATGTGTGTGACGGACCGACCGATCCTCTTGCCATGATCGATCGCAGGAGCCGCACGGTGAGGGCCGGCCTCCCGAAGGCCAACGAGGGAAGCAGTATGCGCAGCGTCAACACGGTCGTCAGCAGCAGCAACAACAGCAGCGGCGGCGGCGGCGGCGGCGGCGCGCCCGCCACCGTCGTCGCCGGCAGTAGGAGCGGGCATGGCATCATGATGTCGGAGGCGCGGCAGATGTCGGTGGTGAAGAGGAGGCACGTCGGGGTGCTCGTCACGGCGAGCTTTCTGGTCTACTCGACGGTTTCGACCATCGTGTTTCAGGTGTGGCGTGTCATTGGACCAAGTTGGTCTCGCGCCGCCGGTAGCAGTAGCTGTCGTGATCGAGAGAGAGAGAGAGAGAGCAAAGCCCCACCGCCTTTTCAGGTGTGGTGTGAAGATAACACCCCCCCCTGACCCGTTTCATAGCTCGTTTTAGTCTGCAGCGTAATAGGGAACCGTGCCAAAAAATGTGGCGAAATGGACCCGCTTCGCCGAGGGCTATCCCAAAAACGTACCGTTTGATTGTGGCATGCTCTTGGTCGTCGTGGAGTAGTCGGCCTTTGAACATCGGTGCAGGGGGTGTGATATCTTGTGCAACCTATGCATACGGTACCTGCCGTCGTGATACATAGAGAGAGAGCAACCCACTGTCTCATTTCGCGCTTTGGTTTGCCGCTGTAGTGTTGCATCTCGGGTTGGTTTGTCTGGGCATCGTGCCGTCCCGGTTGCTGGCTGGCTGCAAACGCCACGTCTCGCGCGTGCACAAAAATGCGTCAGTTATTTTGGTGCCTTCGTGTGATGGTTCTTTGGCCCTGCCTGCTGCTGCTGCTGCTGCTGCTGCTGGATGCCTGCAGACGTTCGCGTGCGACACTTTGGACGAGCTGGGTACGACGTTCCTCCGGGCCGACTACTCCCTGGAGTGCTACACGCCAGAGCACAAGCTGTACAGGGGCTACGCGGGCATCATGATCTTGGTGAGATTTCAGTGGCGATGCATGCGATTATGTTGCTGAGTTCGATCGCAACATGTGGGGGAGAACATCTTCTTGGCGAGAAGTGAAGATGGTATTGGGTGAGTATCACTACTGTATGCACATTATGTTGCTGAATGCGATCGCAACATTCGGGTTAGAAGGCACGCAGATCTTGGCGAGACGTGCAGATGAAAGATGCTCTTGTTGGGCAACACTGCTTGTACACCACCGTGATGTTTTCTGGCCAGGCAGCGCGGTTTTGTTTTCCGGCAATAGGCGCCATTGTTGGTCCCTACAGATATCACGTTTTTTTTGTTGTTGTTGTGTGTATGTGTGTACCATGTTTAGGCATGATGACGATAATTCATCTGTCTCGTGAACGAAAATTAGTACCGATGTTGCGGCGGAACGTACTGTCTGTCTAGCGGTGACGTTTAAAACAAATTGCGTAGATGATAGCAATACTCAACAAATGCAACGTACAGCAGCGGCTGCAGTTTAAGAGAGATTGTTTCTGAGAGTATCGAATTTAGAGAATGTTTGTTGGCGTTTCCCAACCCTCCCTCCCTCCCTTACTTACCGTGTCCACTGTTGTATCGATAAACAACAATATACGTATCGCTAACAACGACAGCACGCCTCACATTGCGCGAATTTTGGCCGATGCCGGACTCCTGTTACTTAGGTGTATCCCATCGGCATCCCGCTGCTCTACGCGTGGCTGCTGTTCCGGCACCGACATCGCATCTACCCCAAGCAAGCCCTCCGAGACGGGGTGTCTCCCGAGCGGCGCCTAGTGGACAAGAAGATCGCGCATACGGTGTTGCTGTGGCAGGTGTGTATGTTGCTCACGATCGTGTGACGTCGAGTGACAAGTGCCACAACAGCTCTCTCTCCCCCCCGGTCGGTTCCCCCCGGGCCCTGTTTACCACCGGGTAGGGTATATGCCGCTTCTCAAGTAGTACCGTTTCCGAGGTGCACGAGCTTGCTCGAAGCATTTTCGCGGCAAGCGGCGCCGCAGCTGGTACAATTTTTGGCACCGTACGCTCCCCGTCCATCTCTCTCCCGTTCTTGCCTCTACTTGTCCGGGAGCCACGTTTAGCAGTAGTAAGGAGGGACGATTGCTAAGTAGGACGGGACGATTGGCCGTCGGTGATCATCCTCTGGGAACAACGCTCTTTAGGAAGCGTGGTCAATATTCTATCAAATCAGGCATGCGAAACATGAGTACCCCACCCCCCCAGCGGAATGTCCGTGGTACAAAGAGGAGAGGGAAGTGTACATGACTGAGCTGGGGAAAATACAAGGGACGTACAGGGAGATGTTTGAGGCATGGAATAGAGAGGAGAGGACGGTAGCTGTACTGGGGAATAGGAAGTGGTTTGAAAAGGCGGGAAGGGATATCGTTAGGATAGACAGACTAAGGAAGACATTTTTGAGCCACCTTTGGCAAAGTAGGAAGGAACGATTGGCCATCGGTGATCGGTCCTGTGGGAACAATGCTCCGTCCTCTCGAGGACGCGTGGTCAATGGTCTAACCGCTAAGGCATGCAAAACATAAGAGTACGCCCCCCCCCCCCCCCCCCC